TATTTTTCCTTATTCTTTTTTCTTTCTGTTCCTGAGACTCAATACTTTCAGTTGTTCTATCTTCACCTTTACTGATTGTTTCTTATGCCTGCTTAAATTTACTGCTGAACCCCTGTAGTGAATTTATATTTCAGGTATTGTGATTTTCAACTTCAGAGTTTTTGTTTGCTTCTTTTTTAAAAAAAATTTCTGTATCTTTGTTGATATTCTCATTTTGTTCATGTATCGTTTTCCTGATTTCCTTTAGTTCTTTGTCCGTGTTTAACTTTAGCTCTTTGAACATATTTAAGATGTTCATTTTAGGGTCTTGGTCTAGAAATTCTGATTGCTGGGCTTCCTCAGGGACAGTTTCTGTGGTTTTATTTTGTTTACTTAAACGGGCCATGTTGTCCTGTTTCTTTGTATGCCTTGCAATTTTTGTTGTTGTTAAAAATTAGGCATTGGAAAAAACAGCTACCTCTCCAAGTCTTTGCAGACTGACTCTGTTCTGGGGCTGTTCTTCATAGATTTGTTGGGCTTACTCTGAGCCTAGGGATTAGCCCTAGGTGAAAACTTAAAGTCTTCTCAGTTCTTTTCTGAGTATACATCTTGCCTAGGTCTGGATGGTGCTTTCTCAGTTACACTATGTATACACACAGCTGCTTTTTTTCTTTGTTTTTTGAGACAGGGTCTGGCTCTGTTGCCCAGGCTGGAGTTCAGTGATGTCATCATAGCTCATTGCAACCTCCCCTTCCTGGTCTCAAGCCATTCTCCCACCTCAGCCTCCCAAGTAACTGGGACTAAGGTACACACCACACCCAGCTGATTTTTATATTTTTTTGTAGAGGTGGATTTCACCGTGTTGCCCAGGCCAGTTTCAAACTCCTGAGCTCAAGCGATCTGCTTGCCTCGGCCTTTCAAAGTGTTGGGATTACAGGTGTGAGATGCTGTGCCCGGCCATAGCTGCTTTTGAATGTCTTAATTTCCCAAAGAGTCTTACCCAGTTTCTCCTTACGATTTTATATAATTTATTGTATGTCTCCTTACATAATCTCTTGCCCCAGGCTTCCATGAATCTGTAGTCTCCCTGTAGCTTTTATGAGCACTGCCTGTCTCTTTTCCTGCCTAAGATTAAAGTTAGGCAAAACAGAGACCAGTCGTTTAGTCTGCCCTCCAACAGGCTGGAATGTAAATAAGTATTCTTTGTTCTCTCCAGTTGGCAGAAGGGAAATAAGAGCAGAGATGCCACCTTCTCCAAACCAAGACCACTGATGTTTCAGGCAGAGGGTGGGGCAAAGGCAAGTAAGACAGTCACAAAACTATTTTCCTGCCACTTTGAAGGTGACTTTGTCTTGATTTGGTGTTTATTATGGTTATAAACCTTGGGTTGATTTCCAGAGCTCCTACAAGTTTAGTTCAGCCAGTGTCTGTCCTTTTTTTTTTTTTTCCTGAGACAGAGTCTTGCCCTATCTCCCAGGCTGGAGTGCAGTGGCACAATCTCAGCTTACTGCAACCTCTGCTTCCCAGGTTCAAGTGATTCTCCTGCCTCAGCCTCCCAGGCAGCTGGGACTACAGGCACGCACCACTTTACGCAGCTAATTTTTGTATTTTTAGTAGAAACAGGGTTTCACCATGTTGGCCAGGATGGTCTTTTTCTCCTGACATTGTGATCCACCCGCCTTGGCCTCCCAAAGTGCTGGGATTACAGGCATGAGCCACCACTCCCGGCCCTGTCTTTTTTTTTTTTTTTTAATCTTTTCATGGAAGAGTAAGAACATAGAGCTACCTAGTCTGCCATTTTGCTGATGTCACTTGATATAAATCAGTTCTTAATGAGATATTCTGAGAGCCATTTTTATTCAGAGGAGTAACTAATACTTTCTATCTTCTTGGTGACAGAGTGTTAGAGTTAAGTGGAACTACACTAGGTATTTGTGTTTATTCTGACTGGAGGTAGTTTAGTGTAATGAGTAAGGGCAGGAACTTTGGTGTGGATACAAATGAGCCTTAGATTGGCTTCTTATTAGAAAGTTATTTTCCCTTTTCTAATACCAGTTTTATCTTCTGTAGAATGGATATAATAAATGTTAGGTGGTTGAAAGGATTCAACAAAATGATTCACCTAAAAAAAATACTTATCAAGTGCTCAATACATATCAATAATTTTATGGAAATATTTAATATGTTTATTGTATACAGCTCTACTTACTAGTGGCCACTTGGATTGATGATCACCCTTTAGTCCAGGCATCAGTACAAATTATTTTTTGAGTAGCTAAGAAGAGCTTTCTGAATATTTTTACCCAGTTAATGTTTTAAAGTCCATGTCTCTAAGTAGGGATTTTGCTTTCCAAAACTCTTCAAGAATTACAAAGACCCCATTCTCCATGATGTGATTATTTTACATTGCATAAAACAGCTCATATGCTCCATAAATATATACACCAATTACATACTCACAAAAATTAAAAATTTTAAAAATCAAAAAAACAGTATTACAAAGACTGAAAAGATAATACTATTCAATTCTAGCCAGCAAGAGTGTGGTGAATGGGTATTCATACAATGTTGATGGAAACTGAAATTAGTATAACCTTTCTGGTAAGCAAAATGGCACTGTGTGACAGCAGCCCTAAAAACGGTCATGCCCTTTTACCCAGTCAGCCAGTGCTAAGGGGTCTAATGAAACCATCAGAGATGTAAAGGGAAATTCAACTATCATCCATTTACTCATTCACTTAACAAATATTTGATACCTGCTAAATGTCAGGTGTTAATTCTAGACTCTGATCAAGTCCAGCCTTTGTCCTTAAGAAGTTTTAAATGAAAAATTAGAAACACTATTGTTAGCGGTGGAAGTTATCTGAGTTATCTGCAGCAAATCCAAATGGGTCTGCAGTAACCTCAGTTCTTGCCTCCTCAGAAGAAAGAATTCAACTGAGGGGCATAGGACAGAAGGAGAAACCGACACGTTTTACAGCAGGAGTGGAAGTTTATAAAAAAGCTTTAGAGGCCGGGTGCGGTGGCTCACACCTGCAATCCCAGCACTTTGGGAGGCCAAGGCGGGCGGATCGTGAGGTCAGGAGATCGAGACTGTCCTGGCTGACACGGTAAAACCCTGTCCCTATTGAAAATACAAAAAAAAAAGCCAGACATGGTGGTGGGCGCCTGTAGTCCCAGCTACTTGGGAGACTGAGGGAAGATAATGGTGTGAACCTGGGAAGTGGAGCTCGTAGGGAGCCGAGATCGCGCCACTGCACTCCAGCCTGGGTGACAGAAAGAGACTCCATCTCAAAAAAACAAAAGAAAAAAAGAAAATAAGTTTTAGAGCAGGAATGGAAAGAAGGTAAACAACCCTTGGAAGAGGGCCAAGTGGGCGTCTTGGCAGTCAGGTGCCCCATTTGACCTTGGACTTAGGGTTTTCCATGCTGGCCTACTTCTGGCATCTTGTGTCCCATTTCCCTTGATTCTTCCCTTACGGTGATCTGCCCACTTGCACGTTGGCCAGCTGGCACTTAGGAAGTGAGCATGCGCAGTGTGTTTACTGGAGTCGTACGCATGCTCACCTGAGGCGTTCTTCCCTTTTCCAACGGAATGCCCCCAGAAGCTCATATACCAGTTAAACTCTGCCATTTTGCCTCTTAATGCCCATGCTTGAGCCTACTCGCCCAATTCCTGAGTTTTTGTTTCGTTTTTTTTTTTTTGAAACGGAGTCTCGCTGTGTCGCCCAGGCTAGAGTGCTGTGGTGCAATCTCAGCTCACTGCAGCCTCCACCTACTGGGTTCAAGTGATTTTCCTGCCTCAGCCTCCTGTAGCTGGGATTACAGGCACCTGCCACCACGCCTGGCTAATTTTTGTATTCTTAGTAGAGATGGGGTTTCACTGTGTTGGCCAGACTGATCTTGAACTCCTGACCTCTTGATCCGCCTGCCTCAGCCTCCCACAGTGCTGTGATTGTGAGCCACTGTGTCCAGCCCAATTCTTGAGATCTTACTTTGGAGCTGCCAATCACTAGTTACAGATGTTTTTATTTATTGGGAAACTGCCTTTCCCTGTTGCTGGCTGCAGCCAATTATTAGGTTTGCAAGGCAGCGTGACAACTGTCTGAGCATCGCCTGATGGTCACCTGACTTTCCTGGTGGTGTGTAGGGGGAGCCCTCTCCTGTCCTGCTCATGCCTGATTAGCTACCTACTGTAATACTGTGCATGTGCAATAATAGAACATAAGTCAAAAAATTATGTTAATCCATAAAGTAGAATATTATGAACCTTAAAAATCATGTTTTGAAGAACTATTAATAGAAGGTGATATATGCTGATTGCATATTTTAAAAAAACAAAAGCTTTATTTAGCATATCAATTTTGTTTAAAAGATAATGCAAATAATTACGCAGAAAACAGCTGAAAGGAAATATACCAAAATGGTAATAAGGGTTATCTCTGGTTGGTGGGATAATGGATGATTTTTAGTTTTTCTTGGTATTTTCTACACTTAAAAAATGTTGTATAATGAGCATATGCTACTTTTATAACTAGAAAAATGCATATTTTCAAAGAGAGAAATTTGGGGCTAGAATGTTTGCAGTGTGGAAGGAAAATGAGAGTTATTTGATAGTGTTTATAGTGGGTATTCCATCATCCTGGAGGTCAAGGAAGGAGAGGCCTAGGGGAGGTGAGAGTAAATAAGAGAGACAGCCTATTTTCTGGTTCTGTGGTCTCTTTTTACCTCCTTTCTGCTTGGCATAGCATATGATGACCCAATCAATAAGAGGCTGATTTGCTGAAAACTCACAGGAATGCATCCTTTTTTCACTGGGTATTCCTTTTTCAGAGGTGTTGGGGTTGGAGGGGGGACATTCCTTTTGTACTGCCTTGCAAATGCCATCTGCGTTCATATAGCAGACCACAATGCACTATCATTTCCTTTCTAAGATTTTTTCTTTTTTCAATTTTGGATGGATGCTGTTAGCAAATTCTTATCTTTTTGCAAATATGAGAGTTGTATGATTTTTATTTTCAGCGAAAACTGAACCACCTGAGATTTTCAGTGTGAAACCAGTTTTGGGCATCAAACGAATGATTCGGATTGAATGGATAAAGCCTGAGTTGGCGCCTGCTTCATCTGATTTAAAATATGCACTTCGATTCAGGACAGTCAATAGTACCAGCTGGGTAAGTTATGCCGTTATAATAATGTTCCTATTAGAGGCCCAGAGGAAAAGAATCATTGACAACTATTGTTGACCTGGAATCATTATTTCACTTTTTACGTTGAAAATAGAAGAGAGACACTAGGAAGTACTTCTCTTTCTAGTGTTCCATTTTTCCTTCTGGACCTTTTAGATTGGAAGAGTATTCTACAATAGGCATTTTTGCCTTCTGAGCGCAGGGACACAATAAAGAGTGAGAAATTTACTTCTGCATTATATCCAAGTTTGCGTCTGGCTGTGTGGCTACCAGAGAGTCTATGGTTTGGCCATTTTATTTTTTATTTTTCTGACCCTTTATAAAATCATGAGGTATAACATACATTTGGAAAGGTGAACAAAACATAAATATTGCATTTAACAAATTACTAAGCCAGTGCTCATGTAGAAACCACTGCAGTCAAGAACAGAACATCTCCAGGATGCCAGAGCCCTTTGCTTGCCCTTTGCTCATGACCTCCGTGAGAGCTAATTTTCATGGTAATCTTCTTTGCTTTCATTTTTTACCATTTAAGCCTGCATCACTGAAGAACATAGTTTAAAAGACTATGCCCTCTTTCCTTGAGCCCTCCTCCTTCATCCTGAAGGAGCGCCCAGTAGAAATAGAGGAGCATATAAAGGGAATCCATACATTTTGTATTTTCTAATGTTTGGCTTCTCTCTCTCAATATTGTGCTTTTAAGACTTATTCATGCTATATAATGCTGTAGTTTATAAATCTTCATTGCTGTGTGGTATCCCATAGTCTGAACATGATGGAATGGTGACTTTAATTTGCATTTACTTGACTTTTAATGAAGTTACACACCTTTTCATATGTGTTTATTGGCCCTTTGGATTCCTTCTTCTGGAAGTGCTGATTTAAGCCTTTTGCATGTTTTCTTTATTGGCTGGTCTGCCTGATTTTTCAACTGATTTGTAGGCATTCCTTATATATTCTGTTTATGAGTCTTATTTGCTACGTGTATGGCACACATCTTTCACTATGTGGCATGACGTTTCACTCTCTTAATGGTGACTTTTGAGGAACAGTCACTTAATTTTAATATGGTTAAATTTTATCTGTCTTTATCTTTATGCTTATGCCTTTTGTGTCTTAGGAAATGTTTTCTTACCTCAAAGTTCAGAAAATATTCTGCAGTTTCCATCAATGCAGCCTGAAATTGTATCACCTTTTTGTAATCATCTCATATTTATTGCCTTTTTATAAATTTTAGACAGGGTCTCACTCCGTTACCCAGGCTGGAGTGCAGTGGTGTGATCGCAGCTCATTGCAGCCTTGAACTCTTGGACTCAGATGATCCTCCTGCCTCAGCCTTTCGAGTAGCTGAAACTACAGGCATGTGCCACCATGCCTGGCTGATTTTTAATTTGTTTTTGTAGTGTTGCCCAAGTTGGTCTCGAGCTCTTGGTCTTAAGTGATCCTCCTCCCTCAGCCTCCCAAAGTACTGAGATTACAGGTGTGAGCCATCATGAGCAGCCACATTATTGACTTCTAATCAACTATTGGCTAATTAAACCTTTAAGACTTTTTACCTCCTGAAGACTTGCTAGTAAAACATACCTCTACTATCTTATCGTTTGTTGATTTTTAACCTAAGTTCAGGTGTTTTATTTATTCTTATTGAATTTCTTCATGTTGGTCTTATCTATCATTCCAGCCTATTTAGAATCCTGTTTGGTCCAAAACTTATGATTAACTTTTTACTTTTTAACTTTTCAGTATCTCCAGATTTGATAACACTTCCTTCTATACCTTTATCTAATTATTAATAAAAATGGTGACTACATCAGAGCCCTGTGGTAAACCAGTAGAAACCATCCAGAGGATCAACCCTTCTTTTGGATATGGTCATTTATTCAGGGTTCTATGAATATACCTAATTACCACTATCGTCATTCAGGCTACTTTTTTTTATCTTGTCCAGGAGGCTATCATGCGACCCTTTCCCTTGTGGAAACCCACAGACACCCTATTTACTGCAGCATCGTCTCCTTGTCTGGAACTCTTTCAGTAAAGCATTATTTGTCCTATTGATGCAGAATTTTTGCGCCTTAGATCAGCTAAATCCGGGTTCTTGTGTCACCAAGAAAAATTAGGCACGCGGACACATTGAAGGGCGAGGAGAGAGGAATTTATTGGGTGAAAAGGAAACAAGAGAAAAAAACTCTCAGCAAAGCGAGATGGGCTCCTACTAACAGGCTACCATCTCACAGA